CAGCAAATGCAGTTGAAAAATAAATCGACGCGCTCAATAATAATTGGTGTGTAATTTCGACGCGAGACCAACGTCAAAATCGTAGATGACGAAATATGTGATGTCGTGCTAAAAGAACAGATGCTATATGATAAAAAACGAGCGAGTTATGAATTTTTGAATGGCGAGAACCCGAACAAAAAAATCTGCAGCACAGCTTATTTCACAGGTTAACTTGAGAAACGAAAAATAACTGAAGCCTTCAGAGTGCCGTTCGAACTCGGGACCTGAAAAAAGTTATATCTAACAAAATTTGTGATCCCATGCTTCAAGAATCATTCCAATACGATAAAAATCGAGAGAGTTATGATTTTTATGATATCAAGAAATAGTGAACTAGAGCTCCCATTTTTGTGTAAAAATTCTCTGGTAATTCGCGTTTTCAGAGATCTTTGGCACACAATTGGCCCTCGATCTGTACATACAAAATGTGAGGGACATCAAGAAGGAATTTACACCCTAAAGAACCAGTCAGAAATGTTGAATCCGGAGAAAGTAATGAATTTTTTAACGTCCAAAAAATAACAGTTCAACACACTTTTTCACTGTATTTTCCAACGCCTATTTTCAACATATTCGTGCATTCAGAGAATTTCTTCAAAGAATTAACTCTCGGTATGAACACGTGAATTGGAGAAGATATCAAGACAGATTTTATGGATAAAGAACCATTTAGAAATGTTGAGCCACATGAGATTTACAAATTTTCTAACATCCGAGCGACCATTGACCAGCAAAACCTAAAACTCTGGTTATTTAAATTTCAGCAGTCTTCCTCACAAAATTGGCCTTCGGTCTGAACAGACAACAAATAAAACTCCGAGATGGTTCTAGTGTCCAAAGAACCACTGAAAAATCTTCTTCTGACCAGAAGTTACAAATTTCTAAAACTCACAGTAACAAACAGACTTTTAATTCAAATTATTCCAGACTAAGCGAAACACTTGATTTTCTCTTCTGCTTCAGGCGCGTTGGAACACACGGGAACTTGGCATGATGATGACTTGATTATACACTAACTTAATAGCCTGGAGAAGACTCTAAATGTATCGAACAACGGAATAAACATCTTCGGTAACCTGACGAAGCTTGAGAGACATATCTTGATCCGGTAACCACTGAACCAATGATATGCATGCATGTATATGGTAATGAAATATAAGCCAAATAGGTTTAAATGAAGAGGGTAAATTTTGGGGTATAATAGTTGCAATGGAAGAAAATTGATTCGTTGTTTCTGGATTTTGGAGTTGTGCCAAGAAACCCTAGGCTTGGGCTTGCCACCGATGGAATGGACCCCTTTGGTAATCTAAGCACTAATCATTCTTTGTGGCCTGTTTTTCTCACTATTTACAACCTATATCCTTGGTTGTGCATGAAGCTCAAGTATATACCGTTAAGTATGATGGTTTCTGGACCACGACAACCTAGTAACAACATAGATGTTTATCTAAGTCCATTAATTGATGATTTACGACTCTGTGGGATGAAGGCGTTGAAGTTGATGATGCATATTCTGATGAAAAGTTTAAGATGCATGCAATGTTATTTTGCACAATCAACAAATTTCCTACTTACGTAAACTTGGATGGATATAGTGTCACAGGACATAAAGCATGTTCTATTTGTGAAGATAATACTTATTATCACCAACTTGAGTTTGGAAAAAAGATCGTCTTCCTTGGGCATCAAAAATTTCTAAAACCCGGTCATCGTTATCGTAGATTGTGGAAGACTTTTAATGGAGAGCAAGAGTTTGATGAGGCTCCTGAGCCTTTAACCATGGGTGAAGTTTATCAACAGTAGGAACACATTAATGTTGTCTTTGGGAAGAGAGAAAAAGAAAAAGGGGCAGTTGCAAAAAATATATGGAAAAAGAGGTTCATCTTCTTTGATCTTCCATATTGGTCAAGCCTTGATGTTAGGCATTATCTTGATGTGATGCACATGGAGAAAAATGTGTGTGATAGTTTTATTGGCACACTTCTAAATATTCCAGGCAAGACTAAAGATAGTAAGACTTCCCGTCTTGATATGGAGGCAATGGGTATACAAAAACAGTTGGCTCCAATATAGAAAGGAAAAATAACTTATCTGCCTCCAGCATGTCACACTCTATCTAAAAAGGAAAAGAATTTTTTTTGCGAGTGTTTTCAAGGTATTAAAGTTCTGCAAGGTTACTCATCAAACATCAAGAAACTTGTATCAATTAAAGATCTCAAGTTAATTAGTTTAAAATCTCATGATTGTCATGTATTGATACAACAACTTCTACTAGTGGCTATCAGTGGAATCCTACCAAAGAATGTGATAGTAACTATAACGCGATTGTGCTTATTCTTCAATTCCATATGTAATAAAGTTCTTGATTTCAAAAAATTAGATGCATTAGAAGATGTATTTTCCTCTATCATTTTTTGACATTATGGTTCACTTATTCATCTAGTCAGAGAAATCAGAATTTGTGGTCTAGTTTATTTAAGGTGGATGTATCCAATAGAGTGATATATGAAGATCTTTAAAGGATATACGAAGAATCATCACCGACCAGAAGCTTCAATTGTTAAAAGGTACATTACAGAAGAAGTTGTTGAGTTTTTATACAAACTATTTTTCGAACGCTGATTCTATTGGAATTCCAAAGTCTCGTCATGCTGACACAGATGGAAGAGGTATTCAAGGTCTAAATGTTAAGTCAATGGCTCAGAATGTAATTATCCAAGCACATTTCTATAGATTGAATAATATAAATGAAGTTCAAACTTTCATAGATACTCACAAAATACTTTGGGGAAAAAAGTATCCCCGAATGAGTGACAAGTTGTTGTTGATAGATCACAATAAGAGATTAATAGATTGGTTTAATAAAAGTGTATCTAATGATCGTAGTGCATCCGAGATACCTAAATGGTTGTCGTACGAGCCAAAATTTTGTGTCATTATTTAGACTGCATACGACATTGGTCATTATACCTTTTATACAAAATCAAAAGATGATTGTAGTATAATGCAAAATAGTGGGGTTATGGTTGAATCTGAATCGATGTATTTCTCTAGTTCGAAAGATAAGAATCATATATTGGCAACTATCGCGTTTTATGGTGTCATTGATGAGATTTGGGAGATTGATTATGTTATTTTCAAAGTGGTTTTATTTAAATGCAAGTGGATTCCCAATAATAGTAATGGTGTACACATTGATAACTTAGGATTCACCCGAGTCGACCTTGACAAGGCATCTTTTATGACCGAACCATTCATCATGGTCAATCGTTCTCTAAGGAAAACACATTCCTCTTAATGATGAAAGTCTTGATATTCCGTCCACACCTTCTTAAACAATACAAGTTCCTACCTCTTATGATGAAGTTGATGGAGATACTGTTCATACTATTCGAATCGATCAGGAAGAAGGCATTTGGGAAAAATTAACAAGTACATAATTTATTCTTTACTCATAATATATTCATGTATCTTATAGTTTCCAAGAGACAAGACACCAAGTTTCAATTATGTGGTGTTATGTAATGTGTAAATTGTTGGTTGTTTGTTCTGATAAATTGTAGGATGTTTGTTATGGTACAATTGAATATGATACAATTATGTGATATTATGAATATGATACAATTAATATTATTCAGATAACTTTATCGCAAATGTAAGTTGTATTTTCTGCTGTGATATGGTGAACAATAATACATGTTAAAAAATGGGATTAATTATAAAGACATGATAATATTTGTTAATTATGCAGAAAATAAAACAACGGTTATATATCATAACCGTTATAATATCTCGCGCGCTGTGCAGAAAAAAATAAATATCAAAACGGCGCAGCTGTGAATCGAACCTAGGACCATTAATTTTATCACAACGGTCTTTTGGAAAATTACTGTGATAGGGAGCGCACTTTCCAATTTATTACAACGGTTACTGGACCGTGATTGTAAGCATCATATATTTAACGACATTCTACATAACAACGTTTGGGCCCGCATTGTTATATATCTTTCTCAATCGTTGTTAATTATGTTTTGCGTTGTAGTGTTGATTATTTTCCGCAAGTAATTTTGTAAGAAAATCCGCAGGTAATATCAGATTTGCAGGAAAATCCATAAATAACTGAAAAAATTTGAAAAAATATAAAAGACATTAATTCAAGTGACGCATTTTTTTATTTCATTTTTTTTTTGGAACATAGTTAGATCTAGTTAGTTTGATATTAAAACTTTAAAACTCGGTTAGTTTTTTTAAAAAAATTCTATAAACATGTGTACAAATGATTTTTTTTTAATTACAATGCATTATTACCGTGAAACATAAACCCTAATTTGTACCAAAAATAACCTAAACCCCAACTTCATCTTCCCTCTGCTCTTCTACCAACTCCAATTCCACGTGCTTCTCATATTCTTCCTTTGTCCCAGTGAGTTTGATCGTCTCACTTTTTTGTTTGTTCTTCTATGTGACAATTACTTTAATCTTGCTTTGTGAAATTAGGGATTGATTTTGTTAGGATTTTAAACTATTACATCACTTGTAGAATAATCAAAATATAATAAACCATGAATTTCATTCAGATATGCCATTCATAATATAATTATGTTTTTGGTGGAAACATGGAGAGGATTTGAGATTATGAATATTTTGTGAAATTAGGGTTTTGGAGACTTAATTAGGTTTACATACAAAGATGAACATAACCCCCTTAAGCTGCTCTATAGCACCGACACCTCCATGTCAGTGTCGTGTCTGAAAACGACACCTAGACTTGTGAGTACATTTAGTTTATTCATTTTTTCAAATTATTACCGGCGACTGACATGTCAGTGTCAGTGTTGTGTTTCCGGTGTTTGTGTTACATAGTCAACAACTTCTATCTGTTGCACGCGTTTCCCTCTCCCTGCTCTCTTATTTTTTATTAATTTGGGGCACTTTTGTTTGTCTTGGTTTATAGCAGAATGGGGAAAACGGAGAAAAACTACAAGAGGCTTAAGGGAAGCCAAAGTTTCAGACAAAGGTTGCTTCTCTCCACACTCTCTTCCACTCCCATTATCATCGAAGACATACGCACCCACGAGACATGGCCTGGTCTTCGCAACCACGAGATTTCACTCCTGCGTTTATTCGAAACTGTCTGTGATGACTGCCGCGTTGTAATCAACCAAACTGGTATGTTTTCTTTTGTTTTTTAATTTTTTGTGTTTACTACTTTTGATTAAAATTGAAATTTTATAATTGTTGTGATTGCATTTTGGTAGGTACTAAATTGACGTATGAACCTGGAACTATTATGGGTGGCAGAATCAATCATCCCCACGATTGTGGTGTTTCGCGATCCATTGGCTATTTTCTTGAACCACTCGTTGTGTTGTGTTTGTTTGCCAGAGAGCCCCTCACCATTAGCCTCAAAGGTTCTACACTTCATGTTTTTTTAATTTCTTTTAATCGTTATTGTTGTTGTAATTGTTCTTTATTTCTTTTCTTTTCATTATTACTTAAGCCGTTACAAAAAAATGTAGAAAATGAAATAAAAGGATGCCTATAATGCCTTGTCTGGATAACAAGTTTAATTAAGCGCTTATCCACTAAACACTTATCATATAAGTGATTCTGCATAAGCTGTTTCTAAAAGAAAGATAAAAAAAAGTGAAAATGTTTTAATATAAGCTATAACTTGTTTTCATAAGCTATTGAGGAGAGTTTATGGAACTAAGCTGGAAGTAGCTTATGGATCGTTTCCATAAGCTTGCCCAAGTAGGTCTCGCAAATGCTTATGCCAGCAGATAAGTTCAACTAAATCAATCCAAACATGCCTAGAGTATACAAAAATTTTAAAACTAGAATAGAAGGACCATGTAGTAGATATTTTATTGATGTTGATTGAGACTTGAAACGGTTGAATGCATTGTTTTCAGGAATTACAAATGATTCTAAAGACCCATCGGTTGATACCTTCAAGTCTGCTGCTTTTCACATACTAAAGCGCTTTGGAGTGGACTTTGAAGCCTTGAGTCTTAAAATAGAGAGTCGTGGACTGCCTCCTAATGGTGGCGGCGAAGTTATTTTGTCACTTCCTATTGTTCAGAGTCTAAATGTAAGTTTCTGAATTTTTATATGCTTCGTTCATTTTATTTTGGTAACTTATATATCATTCCTAGCAGGCAGTTAATTGGATCGATGAGGGGTTTGTTAAGAAGATACGAGGAGATACATTTTCAACCAATGTATCTGCTCAATTTGAAAATAGCATGATTATAGCTGCACGTGGAGTCATCAATCCACTAGTTTGTGATGTGTACATTTGTACTGATCACAGAACGGGTCGACCGGCTGGAAAGTATGATCTCTTTCTTTTGGTATATTATGAAATTTTCATTTCATTTTTTGAATGTATATTTGATAGAATCCCAGAAAATCATATTGCGGAAAGCCATAATTCCTTTTTATTTAACTGGTTGTTTGCTGGCACAGCTCTCCTGGATATGGAATTTTACTAGTTGCAGAGACTACTTCTGGTTGCTACATCTCTGTAGATACTGCCGTTTCTCATGGGAGGGATGAAGATACTTCCGGCCTTGTAGATGATGTGAAAAAGGATCTGATGCCTCCAAAGGATATTGGTGAGGGGATTGCTAATGCTTTATTAGAGGAGATAGGTCAATCTGGAGTGGTAGATTCAACATATCAGGTTAGTAAGTTGAAAGGTTTAGCCTGCACTAGTCTTTGTTTATCTAATGATAGAAACAGAAATTGAAGAAGAAATAAGAGAAGAGAGGGAGAGAACTGCATTTCTAACTGTTTATATTTCTGTTATGCAAAGTGTCATTTCTCATTTAACTAACCTAGATAGAATCTGATGACAATTTTTAGTTGACAAATAAATCAACAAAAGTAACTAAACAAGGTTAGAGTTCACGCCAATTTCCCAATATTTGGTTCAAAAACACCATAATCAAACCCCTGTAGGCACAAACTTGAAACAATACTCTTCTCTTCTTATGAGTTACCTAATTTTGGGTTGTATCATTTTGTACTTCATTGTCAATTACCAATATATGTTCTTATACCAAGAAATTCGTTTCTATTTTGTATAAAGGAGATATCTAATTTTTCTTTTCTATATTTGTGGTTTATACAGGGTATGCTATTTCTTCTTTGTGCTCTATGTCCTCAAGATGTTTCCAAGGTTCGCATTGGAAAGCTTTCCCAGGATGGGATTAATACTCTTAGAAACATAATGGATCTTCTTGATGTGAAGTTTATTATCAACCCGGATCCGGATACACAGTCAGTTATCCTCAAATGTATTGGCTGTGGCATGAAGAACCTTTCTCGAAAGATCTCATGAAGACAGCGTAGTCTAGTGAATCGAATTTTCATTTGCCAATTTTGTTTGTTATTTATGTATATAATTCTAAGCATTTATTTCAATATTTTTCATTGTTTAATACCAGAGTTATTAATCCCGGATAGCGGAGCGGAGCGGCCGACTCCCGGGAATGGGAAAAGTGAGAATAGCGGGATAACTTTTTGTATACTAATAATTATATAATAATCTATAAAACATATGTCATGTAATACTAAACTAATTTTACAACACTCATAAAATATTTATAAAATCTAATGTCAAACCAAGAACAATGCTTAATCAAGATTCAAAACATAAAGATTCAAATTCAAACTTAGTACTATCATATGAAAATTCAAGCAAACATAGAAATCATGTAGCATCATCAAAATATTCCTCCAATTCTTCATTTTCTTCATATTCCTCCAATTCTTCATCTTCAACTTCTTCAAAATAGAAAGAAACGGTGTTTACAACAAAACAAAAATAGAAGTAGAAGGTAGAAAGAAAAGAAGTAGAATAAATTGAAGAATTAGAAGAAATTACCTGAGATGGCAGAAGGAGATGGAGGAAGAATCGAAGGAGAGTTGCAGGGAGATGGCGGAAGAATCGTAGAAGGAGAGTTGAGGAATTAGGGCACGATAAAACACAGTGAATGAGGGAGAAAGAAAACAAAAATTGTTTTAAAACAGAGGCATTTAAGTAATTTGGCCCAGAAAATTGTTTAAAAAAAAAAAAGAGAACTGGAGTCGCTCCGCCCGAGAACTTCCCGCTACCCGCTACCCGGGAACGCGGCTGAAGCGGCCGCTTTTTCATCTCCGCTACCGCACCCTAAATAGCGCGCGGGGGGGTGCCGCACCGCTACGGTGCGCCGCTATAGCGGCCGGAGCGCCCGCTATTGACAACTCTGTTTAATACATAGAAGAACCTTTCTTTCTAGGAATAATAGTCATTTCTTCATGTCATATTAGCTAGATTTGAAAAACACCCTGTAAAAAAAAAGTTTGGATTCCCTCCATAACATTTTTAGATGTTGTTTTGACCCTTCCTCCATCCGGTTAGCAGAATCTTCATTGTTTTAATTTTTTTTTTAATATCACTTCTTTAATAGAGTCATACGTGACATGGTAAAAATGTTAAGCATGTAATAAAAAAATCAGATTTATGATTAGTGAATAATTAATCCCAAAGTAAATCCAAATCAATAAACTTAGATTAAATAACCCTAATCTTCTTTTTATTCCACAAAGACAATCTTATCTTCTTTTTTCTTCAAGCATCATTGATTGAAACTGTATCTCTAATATTTCTTCAAGCATCATTGGTTCAGATTCTATCTTTAATTGAAACATTATTGTGTTCATACCAACACCATCTTCATGGCAAAAAGTTCGAACACAAGTATTCTCTCAAATGGAAGAACAAGTCCTAAATGTGGACACGATCTCCCTATGAAAATGTTTGTTTCTAAATCCAGAGCAAACCCAGGAAGGAAATACTGGAAGTGCAAGCACTGAGAGGGGTTAGATTTCTTAGGTTTTCGATTTATATTTTCTCTGAGTTAGACCGATTAAAATAGATGTAGTGTAATATTATTTTGTGTTTGCAGAAAGAAGAGGGATGTTAGTTGTTTTTATGGGATGATGAGTATTTTGGAGTCGACGAAATAAAGGAAACTCTGAAAGGTGAAGATCGATCCTGTAACTGCGATATGGTTGTTAGACTCGCGAGTCTACTCGGACTCATAAAGGATTCATAGACTCTGTTGGTGCACAAGGTTAATAAATGAAGGAAAGGTAAGAGAATTATATTAAATTTCTGCAATCACAGGTATAAAGTTGTAAGGAAGAATGATTGAACTATATTTATGACAGCTACCACTAGTCTATTTATACACAAAGTAAATTACCATGTAGGCCCTAACAAAAAGGTAAACTTAATAATTAAGCAAACTAAACTTAATAGCTAAGTAAACAAAATAACTAGAACCCTAGAAGTTAAACATATTTTTGGGCGTAATCTCAGAAGCTTCTGCTTCTGACTAACAACCTCATAAGCTCTACTGCTTTTGAGTAACACTACTTCTAAGTAATACATCAGAAGTTTCTGACTCTAAAAACAACTTTTGAAAATGAATTACTTCCAACATCATCCTTTAATTCATATTCAGTCAACCAAAAAACTACAACACTAATTTCATCCCTCAAACGGGTAAGGTGTTCAATTTTGACATCCTTCATCAGAACATCTGCAAGTTGCTTCTGGTTGCTACAGTGTGCAACTTCTAATACTCCATTTTGAAAAGCAGGTTTCTTCTTGAAAACCCATATGACGCTGGTATTTTTATTCTTCTTCTGAAGCTCAGTCAACTCCCAAGTCTTGTTTCTTTCAATAGTATCAAGCTCTTATTTCATGACCTTCAGCCACACTTTCTTATTGAGAGCTTCACAGGTTGACAATGCAACCACTAGTTGATTTTAAGAGCACCAAGAAATAGGACTTTCCAGATACAAACAAAAATATCCAGAAGTATTTCTTATTTCAACTATGTCTCCATACAAATCAGAATCTGAATAACATATCAGCTGAGTCGAATTTAACACCAGAAAGGAACAACACTCCATACCTCAGAGTCCCTTCAGTATCTTGTAGCTTGTCAAACTCTGCAAATATTTTTGGTATTTTTATGATTCGTCGTGTCCTCTGGACTTGTTCAAAATCTCCTTCTGATTCTAGAACAATATCTCCTTCTGGACTTTCTTCAAAAGTTTGACTACCACCAGAAGTTCCACCTTTGTTAGCTTCTAGACCTCGTCCAGAACTACTACCTTAAGAAGTTCCACTTTTGTAATCATGACCACCATTAGAGGCTAGACTATCTTCAGAATCTCCTCCTTCATAAGATCCACCTTCAGAGTCATGATTACCACCAGAAACATAATCATCTCCAGAAGATTATCCTCCATATCCTACATCTTTAGAGTTTCCCCTTCTAGAAACATGATCACCACCAGATTTTTGATCATCATCAAAATCTGGATCATAATCAGATTCACCATTTGACTCACCTTCAGAGTCTCCAGAAGATTCTTCATCTTCTGACTCTAGCTCTTCTCAGAACTTTCAAATTCTGACTCATCTTCAGAAGCAGAATCTCTTTCAGATGCTGACTCATCTTCTGATTCTTCTTCAGACTCAGAATCACCTTCGGATTCTGACTTGTCTTCAGATTCAGAGTCATCTTCTAATTTTGACTCATCTTCAGAAACCTCAGATTCTGACTTATCTTCAGAATCTTCAACGTCGTCTTCTGATTACGACTCATATTCAAACACTCATTCAGAGTTAGAATATTCAGAGTCATCTTCTTCCTCTTCAGAATTAGAAACTGACAATCTCACGGGTTTCTCATCAGATTCATAAGCCATTAATAACACAGGTTCATCATCAGAATCTCCTCTGGCTATTTTTGCTTCTTTTTTGTTTGACCAATAATCTTTAGCAAAGTGGCAGAACTTATTACAACAGTAACATTGAACCATTCTCTTGTCATACTTCTCCTTTTCCTTCTGATGTTTCTTTTCATCTGAATAGAAGACTTCTGACATCTGGGAACTACCTCGTCTTTTATGCTTCTGGTCCTTTTTGACAAAAGAAACTTTCGAAGCCTGCTCAACCTCTCTCTCAGAAGTTCTTTCAGTCATACGCAACTCTTACGTCTCTAGACTATTTTATAGCTCTTTTATTCTCATGGTGTCCAGATCTTTTGAATGTTTAATTGCTACAACAATGTAATCAAATTGAAGAGTAAGAGACCTCAATATCTTCTCAATGATTACTTGTTTAGAAAGGGTTTCTCCACAAGCTTCCATCTCATTAGTAATCAAAATCACTCTGGAGATATAGTCAGAAACCTTCTCGTTGTCCTTCATATTGAGATTCTCATACTGCTTTCTAAGAGACTGGAGTTTCACCTTCTTCACTGATGTGTCACCATTGTAAAACCTACTCAGTGTGTCCTATGCAACCTCGGGTTTTATCGAATCAATAATTTTCTCAAACACGTTCTCATCCACACACTGATGAATGAAGAACAACGCCTTTTGATCTTTCTTCCTTGTATCTCTCTGTGCATTTCTCTGTTACTCCGTCGCATCTACTGCAACTGAAACATAATCATTTGTAATAAGCTCAAGAACATCCTGAACACCAAACAACACACACATATGAATCATCCAACGATTCCAGTTTTTGCCATTAAATACTGGAAGCTTGGTGCTTAGACTACCATTCCCGGTCATCTTCAACCTTGTACATAATACTCAGATCTCACAAACACAGTGTTTCTCAATCCCACAAAATAAAAAAAATGTGATTATGTTCAGATTTTGTTCAAGATTCAACATGAATTCAAGAACCAAAATTAATCACACAACGCCTCAAAGTTTCACTCGTTTTCCCGTGAATCAAACCGAAGCTCTAGATACCAATTTGTTGGTGCACTAGGTTAATAAATAAAGGAAAGTTAAGAAAAAATAATATTAAAGCTCTGTAATGACGACTATAAAGTTGCAAGGAAGAATGATTGAACTACATTTATGACAACTACCACTAATTTATTTATACACAAAGTAAATTATCACATAGGCTCTAACAAAAAGATAAACTTAATAACTAAGCAGACTAAACTTAATAGCTAAATAAACAAAATAACTAGAACCTCAAAAGCTAAACATACTTATGGACATAATCTCAGAAGCTTCTACTTCTAACTAACAACCTCAGAAGCTCTACTACTTTTGAGCAACACTGATTTTGAGTAAACATCATAAGCTTCTGACTCTAACAACAACTTCTAAATATAAATTACTTCCAACAGATTCGACTCGTAAACTCGTACGAGTCTATAGAAATTAAAAATGACTCCGAAAACCTGTCAGTGAGATATATGACACACACATATATTTATAAACCTGAAAATACCTCATACATGAGACAAA